TCCAGCTTGTTCCTTCACTAATGTACAGTAATTTTTTAAATACTGATAGCAAAGTCATTCCCCGATAATTTTTGACATCGTCTTCCGAACTGTTTTTAAACAATGACACAATTAACCCTTGTATCTACTGCTTAGAAAAAGAACTACAAGAATCTAAATAGCTTTGGCAATACAATATAAAATAATATAATAATTCTGGAGTGGTACCATCAATTCCTACGGCTTTATTTGTTTTTAATCTCGCTAGACAAGTTTCAAGTCACTTCAGATTCGAGGTGCATAATAGGGTTAATCTCGTCAAGAAATAATTTCACTCCCTTGATAAAATTATTATTTTCTGATTGGTCTAGAAATAAAATTGAGAAACGGTCTTTCTTCAGATTTAATATTTGTTGATGGATCAATTTTCCCAGAACTTAGCATTGACTAAAACAAACTGCTTAGTATTTGGTTTATTGATGCAACAATCTAATTTTCTTAATTTTAGGTAAATAGATATTCATTTAAATTGTCAAAAGTTTATGTTACTTCTAAAGTGATTTAATGTTCTACGTACAACCATGTACTGCGGCATTTTGTAATAATTACGCGTTTTGTAATAGGGGGTAGCAGCGTTTTGTAATAACTGACACGTTTTGTAATAAGGGTAGCAGCGTTTTGTAATAAAATCACTGACGTATTTTGTAATAAGGGTAGCAGCGTTTTGTAATAAAAAATAGCGACGCGTTTTGTAATAGGTGGTAGCAGCGTTTTCTAATAATATTCATGTAATAAAATTACCTTTTGATATCATCAGTACTTTTTTTTTATATATGTATGAGTTTAGAAAGATGTTACTTGAAATAAGTAATTATATAATTTAAATACGGCAACTCGGATGGTTGTAAAACTGCATTTATTACTTTATGAAACAAGTTTGAAAAAGCAGTACCATCATATCGCCAGTGATCGAATTTAAAGAGGTACTAAAACAGTTTAAGACCAGTCCCAAAATTATTTACAATATTACTGTGTTTATATCAATCATTGACAATTACGCTACAGACACGGTCATGTCTCTCTCCTGAGGCTAGTGTGACGAGGTGGGGTATACGTCCGCCCCTAAGTCAGTCCTTCTGTTCTTGGAAATATCTCGGAAATTCTTCAACTGTATTATTTCAAGCTCACTTAATTACACGAGCTCGTATATCGAGAGCTTCTGTACAAAAATCGATGTAGTATACCATGCCAGTGGATGTTTTATTGATATTAGATTATATCGACCTCGTTTTTTTTTTTTCATAACTGTGGCCTGTGAAAACAAGTTTTGTCCACAACAAATATTTACGACAAAATAAAACAGCAACTAGAACGTCCTGCATACATACGTGGTTAATTACGTGCCTGTTTTTTGACTTTATAAAGCTTGTTCTTAGCGACAACTTTGTAAAGTCGTCTCAATCAACATACTTTCGAAAAAAATACAAACGTCGATTAGTACCGAACACCCTACTGAATCGTACAGCACGAGTATAACTTTAAGATCTTGAGCGAATCGCTCGAGCAAACGCTACCATCATTTTGCTCTACGTTCGTAGTGCAAAAATGATATTTAGCCGATTCAGTTGACTGCGGGAATTATTATTACTTGCAATTAATGTTAGACGGTCGACTGTGGATTACCAGTCACTATACAATTGATTGCATATGTCAGTTTTGTGTTTTGACCAATAAAATTAATTGCTGGATTTACTTCATTAACCTACTCGTAAAATAGAGAACCCAGATATTTTTCTAATTTTTAAAATTCGGTTCAAGATGGTTGCCTGATTTTACTGATCAACAGTGTTAAAACTCCCATAAAAGATGCATGCATGAACTTGAATGATTGGTTCTTTGAATATGGGGGGTACGTACATGCCTCGTTAGATTGTGGTGGATACCTGTGCGTATTTATTTACTAATGGGCATACAAATTGTTCGTGTTTTACAAATTGTCTTAAAGGCGTAATCTGAACGACTATAGAAGTTTCGTTGACATTATGATTTACCAAACTAACGCTCTCGATCCATTTTCAAACTACACTTCGCACATTGTGTTTCAAAATACAACGTCCCGATAGTGTACGCAATCCGTGGTAATTTGCGGCCACGGTAATAACCAATATCAAACTTCCTGATCATACATATGAAATAGGAGTAAAGTTCAAATTTCTAATAACTGAGATGTTTGTTATACAGGTTTTTTCTATATATTTTTTGAATATTCAATTTCAAATATGAAACTTGTTTTTACAATTTGTTTTTACAATTTGGTCGTCATACATATATATAAGACTGCCCGAATTTCCCGCCAAAATAACACTTGATACAACTTATTGTCCAAGACACAGTTATTAGTTTTGATTGGCTTGACGCGTGCGCTGCTGTCAGTTATTTCTACACCGTACGATGATTGGTTATTATTTGTGACTTACTAGTACACACACTTTCGTAGAGGGTGGGATTTTCCCAGCAGAATCTATTCACTGAAAGCGACATGTATAAAGCCACAGCCGAGTAACGGAGAGTAGAGACATATACATATTCTATACATATGCGAATAATTCAGTCCATCTTTAAAGATGGGCCTCCTCTCAATTATTGAATGGTCCGTCGTCCCTTACTAGCTCGTCTCAGTTGGCGAGAACTTTGGGCGACAGTCTTTGAAGTGTGTATGCCGCCACAACTGCGACCGGCAAAGTAGACCAATTTGTAAAATGCATGTTTTTAAATTTTTTTATCGTAATTTCGTTTACGCGTCTGGTTGAATCATTGTTGGCCGAGTGGCATTATGACGCTTTCGGCTTAATTCGGAAACTCACGGAAAATAATGGTTTCCGAATTATTGGTTAGCCGCGAATTATCATCGTCATAACGCAAATTCCGTCTTTTTGCTAAAAAATATAAAATGCAAATTTCAAATAAGATCATTGCATATTTAAAAAAATGGTAAAAACCTATAAAACAAACATTTGAAAATGTTGAAAATTTTTCCTTCATTTACAAAGTTTTATTACTCAGAACTTAAGGAAATAAATACAGTAATTTACGCTGTGAAAAAGAATTATAAAGGAAAAAAAAAACATAAATGAAGACAGATTACCAAGTAACTGAATCATATATAAAGCTATAAAGTTTGTGAATTGTAGGATGCACAAACCAACATTAGGTAAAGTTTCCCCACTTCACCTGAAACAATTCGAAAGTGTTATTTTTTACTACATATACAATATTCCATTTCTTTTGTTTCCATAACTTTTTTTCCACCAGACGAAATGAAAGTGGAGTATCATTTAGTTTACAGGAATAAATCATTTGTTTGGTTATAATGATGATATGGTTCAATAAACTTGAAAACTGATCATCGCCCAGCAAAATCTGAATATCTGTGAAAGTGTCTGGGGTATTTAAAAATTCATCCCATCTATTACATATAGATGTCCAAAGGACAGCAACACAGTTGCATGTAACGAATAAATGTGTTAAGAGTTTCATCGCTATTATGACAAAAAGAACAAAGACCAGAGGTCACGAACGGTGGTCTCATACGGTGAAGCATAGTATTCGTATATAAAACATTATGATTTAGTTTCTACTGTAGTTTTATTTCAATGGTAACTCTAATTGGTAAATTAAAAATAGTTTCCCACTTGATTTTATTTAATTGAAACAACTGCTGAAAATAAGCTTTCCGTATTACTTTACATGTTACCGTATTCAATGGACAAAATATGTTGTTAATGTACAGACCAATAGGTTATTTTGGTCTAACAAAAAAGGTACAACCTCTCCATTCTAGTGGTATAGCGGAAATTATGCCGTGCCAAAATAGATATCGTCTGGGAGTAAACCCAATTTCTTGTAGGTGTGTCCAATTTTTTATTTTCCCATTTGAAATAAAAAGTGTTTAGTGTGAATTTCATCAAGCGAAGCTCTGGAATTACGATGACAACTTACCCTGGGATAAATGCCATATTGAAAGTAGGTGATAGTAAATCAGTTCCGTGTTTGATTAGTGCTTTCTTATCAACTAATGATTTTACCCGTGTGTTTTGTAAGTTGGCGTGTCTATGAATATCAACTCCATTAACTGGTGTACTTTTAAACTTGATCTGTGCTGTTCTATCGCCGTAAGTGTCAAGATTAGATTATACTTCTCTGAATGTCACAATAGTTCGACGAAGTCGGACATAATTGCATGCAGCTGACGATAGGATGCCACGGTGTGTGGACTGTGGGGTATCTCAGCAGGTCAAATTGTGTAAAGGCGACCTGGAATTATGTGAGAACTGTAATGAGGTTCGTTTTCCTGAAATTGCCAGAAAAAAAGAATATGAGAAAAATCGAGAAATTTCTACACGTTCGAGAAATTCGCAGGTAACGGGCGGTATTATTATTAATGAGCTCCTTTGTTTCCTGTGGAATAAAATTGACGTGTTGCGAATTGACGTGATTGTTAAATTATCCGTCGATGTATATGATGACAAAGAAGTTGAAAACACAAAGGAAATATTATACGAGACATGTGAATCCGATTCCAGTAATCGACGGATACAAAGAAAAGGTCAAAACAAGCGAGCAAATAACATCCATGATATGATAATATTGATGCACGAGCTTGATGATGTCAATGTACCTTGTTTTGTCGCTCAAGATCTAGCTAAATTACCTCCTGTTGATATAACTAATATTGACGTGACTGTAATTTTGAAAGAAATGAAATCCCTGAGATATGAGTTTGCACAACTTAAAAATGATGATAAAAATAAACGGGACAATCAAGGCGTGCTTTCTGAACTATTGTTATTACGTAAAGAGATGAATGAATTGAAAGCGTCACTGAAGCAACATGTGCACAATGATATCACTGAAAATCTTACTGCTTGCAAAATAACATGTGATGACAAAACTAATAAAGATCCATTTACAAAATCTGACGAATTGGATAATACTAATGACATAGTTGTGAATAATCAAATCGGGGATAAAATATTGCAAGTGCCGAAACGATATAGTGAAGCATTAAAGCGAACACCGATATCCGTTGCAAGTAATAGTGATATCTCAGGAGCCAATCAAAGAGCTAAACCACCTGCCTCTCGCATATCATCGGTCTCCAGTGACAATGGATTTACTGTTGTTAAACATAAACGTCGCAATGGCAATCGCGGAATAATTACTGGGACTAAGAATGAAGTTACAAGTAGCCTCAGAGCAGTTAGAACTACTCCTCCTATAGAACTATTCGTTAGTCGTCTTCACCCAAGTACTACTAACGAAGATATGTTGTCTTTTATGCGATCCCTGGGGATTAATGACGTGAAAGTCACCATGCTTAAAACAAAATTTGATACGTACGCCTCGTGCAAGCTGACAATGAGTTTTGCCACTAGCAAAACTTTGTTAGACGCAGATAACTGGCCTAATGACATATTGATTCGAAGATTTTATCCATCAAGAAATCAAAAATCAACATGAAGCTGAGAATAACTTCCTATAACTGCCGAGGAGTTAAATCTTCAATTCAATCGGTAAAGGATATCTGTGATCGAAGTGATGTTTGTTTATTGCAGCAGCATTGGCTCACAAAATCAGAACTTTGTATGTTATCAAATGTTAGTAATGATTTTAATGCAATGGGTGAATCTGCTATGAAGAGTGTGGCATAAGGCTTGGTCGGCCGTATGGCGGAGTTGCGATATTATGGCGAAAAACTTTGGGCAATGTCAAAATTAAACGTTATAGTGATAGCAGACTTATTGGTCTGGAAATTGGCAATTCAGATAGAAAATTAACAATTGTCAACGTATATATGCCAACCGAATGCGACAATAATTTTCACGAGTATGTTGAATATTTATGTAAACTTAGAGCTATTGTGGACGAGGCAAGTACAAATTGTGTTATGATTGTAGGTAATTGGAATGCGAATATCCACTCAACTTTTGGTAATGAAGTATGCAACTATAGTGATGATAATGAGTTTGTTTGGTCAGATTTGCAAATATTAGGTACTGGTGACTGTAATTTTACATATTACAGTGAAGCCCATCATACAACGTCTTGGATTGACCACTGCGTTGCTACACCTGCTGCTCACAAAACTATTACAGATATTAATATTTTACATGATATTCTGGGTTCGGATCATTTTCCACTTAATGTGATCTGTGATTTGGAATGTTGCCAACGTTTTGATTTTGCATCTACTCATTATAGTAATTCCACCTGTGTTGACTGGTATAGTGTAAGTGACGATTTGCTTACTGAATACGCCACTCTAAAGCATAGGTGTTTGGCTTCAATTGATATTTCTGCCGATGCTCTTGTTTGTAGGGACACTGATTGTAAGAACACCACGCATTTAAATACCATTGATAATTTATACAATGATATCACAGAAATTCTATGTAAGGCGGCCAAGGACTGCATTCCCCTCAATGCAAAAAAGACAGGAAGGTGTGTGCCTGGTTGGAATGATAATGTAAAAGAGTATCATACTATAGCACGCGATGCTTTCCTTTTATGGCGTGAAAATAGAAGTTCTCGTCATGGTCCGTTTTTTGAGTTGATGAAAAAAACACGAGCAAAATTTAAACATGCTTTAAGACTTTGTAGGAAAAATAAAATTCAAGCGAAAGCTGATGCGCTCGCGACCAATTATGCGAGTAAGAACCCGAGAAATTTTTGGAAGAAAGTATATTCATATAATAAGGCACCTCCTCTATCTGTATCAGTAGGTGGGTGTGATGGAAAAGATGATATTACTGATATGTGTCATTATGCAGACTTACTTTCATCTGTTAAAGATAACCAAAATGAATCTTATGTTAGATCTAGTATTTCTAATATTATATATGAACAAGACATGAATATTAAACCATTTGAAATTCGAAGTGCAATTAATAAATTGACCCTAGGTAAATCAGTTGGACCTGATGGCATCACAGCTGAACACTTGAAATATGCAGATCAGCGTTTGTGTGTGTTATTTTCCTTGTTGTTTTCAATGTGCCATGTACATGGCCTTTTACCTAAACGTATGCTTGATACAATTCTTGTGCCCATTATAAAAGATAAAACGGGTGATGCTACAGATACAAATAATTACAGACCTATTGCGCTTGCTACATCTATCTCTAAAGTGTATGAACTGATTATTTTGACTCTATGTGAAACTTTTCTTACAACTACTGATCATCCGTAACTCTACTGATATGTGTATTTTTGTATTGAAAGAGATTGTAAATTTTTATAAAACTCATAACAGTCCAGTTTTCCTCTGCTTTTTAGATGCTTCTAAAGCTTTCGATAGGATTAATCAATGGATCCTGTTTCGTAAGCTTCTTGGCAGGAATATGCCTGTGTTTCCAGTCCGAGTACTTGTATTCTAGTATAGAAACCAGGAATTCTCTGTGAGATGGGGACTATCTATGTCTATGTCTTTCCCTGCTTTAAATGTTGTCAGACAAGGGGGAATATTATCTCCTCGTCTTTTTGCAGTGTATATGGATAAACTGAGTAAAGATCTAATGACTGAGAAAATTGGGTGTTTTGTAAGTGGGCAATGTATAAATCACCTATTTTATGCTGATGACATTGTATTACTTTGTCCGTCAGTTAAAGGTTTTAAAAGACTAGTTGCTATTTGCTGTATATATTCTGTATCAAACAGTATTATTTTTAATCC